AAAAAAAATTAAATTTAAAAGAACTAAAACTTCATATTATAAACGTATATAATTTTTCGAGGGAAATGTGCTTTGGAATAATGATTTTTACTCTTAAGAATGTACGGTTAAAAAATTAAAAAATAGGTTAATATTTTATAATCCTTTAGCATGCATGTTTCCTTTATTTTTTAATTTGTATTCATATTTAGACTGTGTTTGGATTAATGAATTCTTTTGGTACTTATTGTTATTTTTTTCTTTTGAGTATATTTATTGATTTTGGGTGAGAAGGAAAAGAATTTGCAATTAAACGTCTAGAGGCATAAAAATGCATTGGAAGTACCTACCTTGTGCTGCAAATATGCCCAAGCACTCTGATGAACAGTACTGAAAAAAATTAATTAAATTGGAGTCACTACAAAATTGAGTAAATATATATGTGTAGAAAGATTGAATAAACGTATATAATTAAGAAAAACCAGCTACCTTGTGATTCGAGGATGTTATGTGCCCTACTGCAATAGCACAAGCTTTCCAGTTTGATCGAAATATGTATATTAAGTGAGGAAATAAAATAGAGAATGAGAATGTTAGTATTTTGATTATATATATATCGCATAAGAAGGCAATCTCGTAAATAAGTGTTGAGACAAAAGTCTTATGATTTATATTGATATATTACAATGAGAACGAGACATGATTTATAGTGCAATATTTGGCACTGTGGATAACTTGCTAATCAAATTAGTCGATTCCTTTCGTACCGAATTAATTAACTTTACAATGTTACATACTTTGTCCCCACTAATTATTGTCACTTCCGTATTTTTAAAACTACACTTTATTCTTTTCTTCCTGTTAGCTCTATAAGATCAAAAGCTAAGGATCAACTTTGCATTTAATTTGATAGCAAGCAAACAAGTAATATAAACAAGGAACTTTAACAATATTCTTTTACATTTCAAGAGGATAGGAATAATTGGCCACATTGCAGCCAACTAGGAAACAACAAGAATCCACCTAACATTAGCACTCTACATTGCTCACCTGGCCTAATCAAAGCCATTCACAAAAGAAGCCCAAGTGAACTAAACACCCCCAGTCGGCGCAACGTGCGGAGGTTGGAACCTCCATGTTCGAGGAGAAGTGTTATGATTTACCAGAACGTATTTTCGAATATAAGAGCCTTCATTTCATAGGAGAAGTGTTATGATTTACTAGAACGTATTTTCGAATATAAGAGCCTTCATTTCGTAAGGCATCTTGCATAGATTCACCTCATCCAATAGATTTGTCGTACGATTGATTGATTTGACATCTTTATGACAAACAAATCTTAGTAAACTTTTATGATGGTAGGCCTAGGCTATAGGTTGGCTACTTTCAAAATCATTGAATACTGCCTCAAATTAGGTTGGCTACTTTCAAAATCATTGAATACCGCCTCAAATTAAGATAGCTGAGGTAACGCTTATGAGGTTGATGCTCGATCGTTAAGACGAGACCACATGCCAACTATCCAACATTAACTACCTCTCATATTTCATAAAGTGAATTCCTCTCATCCCGCGCTACACGGCAAATTCCTCTAAATCCCTACATGATTAACTTAGAACAGTTACAAAGTGAATCGAATATTTTAGTTCAATCATGAATCCGAAGACTTTTGATAAAATATTTTTTATGTATGATTTCTACGAATTTATTTCTAACAATTACTACATCAAATGTTTTGATATATTGCATCATGTTTTCAAGGGTCCATTATCAAAATTTCAATTGAACAATAATTATGTAAGTATTTGAATTAAAAAACTTCTCTTAGCACCATTACAAATTCGTATGTTGCATACTAGTTATTCAAAGTATAACCAATATAGTCATGTCATGGTGCAACATTACTCAATTTCTAATTTTAAAGGGGGGAAAAAGAAAAATCTAATAGAGAGCATTATGTCTTTCGAAATGTATATGTTAACTGCACACCAAAGAGATATAATTCTTAGATTAGCTAATATCAAATAATAATAATAATAATAATAATAATAATAATCTTGTTTTGAGTAAAATTAGACAATATTATCCTTCATTTGTCAAACTTCATATTCAAATACATTTTTCAATAGACTCACAAATACTGTTCATCTACTCACGACTCATTTTTTTTTTAGTTAATAAAAATAAATTAAAATCTTATTCATAACTTCATATTATAATGTCCCGTATTGTGTAGATGAACAGTTAATAAAATCTAGTTTGGATCCAAATGGGATTTTAAACATTGTCTTTGTCATCCTCTTCAGATTTCAAAGGCTGTAACCAATACTTCTAAAGTTGGTAATTTGAGAGCTCAGTTAATTAGATTTATATTTTTGAAAAAATCAAAAATTATTTTGTAATTGGACAATCATTTTTATACAATTAACTAAATATAATTAATTGAACTAATCAACGAGGATATATTCAAACTTTAGCTGGCGTAGTCTTGGAAGATTCCAACCATTAATGGTTAGGAATTAATAAGAGCATATTTGGTTAAGTTTAATTTGCAAACAGTAACGTTTTCTAAACATGTTTACGTAGGTTTTTGTTATTTATAAATAAAAGTTTACTTATTGAAGGTAAAGTATGAGTTAACTTTAAAATAAGTAATCTATTGTCGACTTAGACCAACAAAAACCTTGCATCTTTACTTAAAAACGGGTTATTAAACATTGGAGGTCATCTAACTCACACGTTTGTTCACGTTGGTCTTCCAACTTATATTTTTATTTCATTTTGACCATTCTGTTTATAATTGCTCATATCCCGTTAGCCAAATCACAAATTCCATTAGCAAAGCCACGAGTTCTACTAATTTTAGTAATTATTACTGATAAGTGCAATTTGTACAATTATTTAGGTCATATTACTAAACTTTTATGTCATCAAATTATTATTATTTATCTAATTTGTATTAATTTTCTTTTTGTTTTTAGTGATGGACTCATTTAAAGTAGTCTGAAAAGAAAGAAGAATAAATTGGATGCAATGTTGGAGATCAAATTCAACACTTTGGAAGTTGAAGGGCTTTGATTGAATTGAAGAAGACATGGGTTGAGCAATGGAATGAATACAAGGACTAAAGTGCACTATTTTAAAAGAATTGAGGGCTTTAAGAAGATTACATATTAAATGGGCATCAGCATGACACCCGTTTGGTCCCCATTCTTCTTCTCATTCTTTTTCTCTCTTATTTTTAACTACACAATCTTCCATAAAATAATATTACACGCTTTTTCTAACAAACATTTTTCAAAAAAACACTATTACATCCATTAAATTTTGGAAAGAATAGGATCACACAGGAGCTTACTTGGGCTGTAATTCAATTGAAACTGGAATACCTATGGGAATAAATAATTCATGTTGGTGGCTGAGTGGTTGATATATAAGGAGTTACACAAGCTCGATTCTATGGCGAGGCCAATGAGGCCACTGCCTCAGGCCTAAAATCGGAGGGGCTCATTTTGGCCCAAATTTTTTTTTTAACAATGTAAAAGGATTAGGGGTACTTTTTAAATTGGCTTGGTCAAACAACCAATTTTTCAGTTTGACCATTTTTTTTTTGTATTCACCACATTGGCCTCTTGTCACTAAAAAGACAATTGTGCCCTTATTCATGTTTGATAATTACAAAAGTATATCAATTCTTTAAAAGACAATAATACCTTTAATAGTTTAA